ATAACCACTGATCAATTTTCTGTAAGTATAGTTTTGCTTGTTCTAGAATTTTATATAAATGTAATTCACTAAATAATACTTATATACCTGGCTTCTTTCAACTCAATGGAAAGTTTCTGAGATTCATTCACATATATAAGTTCATCATTCATTCATTTACTTTTATTGGTAAGTAGTAGTCCATTGTATGGATATAGCATGGTTTGTTTATTCATTCATGTGCTGATAAACATTTGGGTTGTTTCCAGATTTTGGTTATTATGAATAAAGCTACTATAAAAATTCCTAAACAAGTCTTTCTGCATACATATGTTTCTCCTTCTCTTAGGTATGTATCTACACATTGAATTGCTAGGTCATAGGTTAGTGCGTATTTAACATTATACGGAAGTCTCTTTCCCGCTAGGATGGCTGCTGGTTAAGTTCTATGTACATGATAGAAATTGCTGTCATGTTTTAGGATGAGCAGGAGGGCTGCCTGACTCTGTCCTTTGGGCTGGAGGTAGGAGGAGGCTACAAATGCTGGACTGAGGAACAGCTTACTCTGAAGTGTAAGCATATAGCAATGAGATTCTCCCCAGGCCTTTTTGCAGTCTCTTTGGAGTGTCTTCTGGTTTTCCGCTGGGAGTAAAATGCCTGTAGCACTTTCTGCATGGGGAAGGAATGAAAGACTATGCAGAGTCTGCTGACACCAGCATTTGTTAGACAGACATGGAATTAACCTCTTCTCTCTCTGCTTCCTCACTCCTCCCTCCACATTACTGTCTGAGTCAAGAGTTTCTGGGGTTTTCTTTTCCTTTGACCATACCTGCCTTATATTGTGGACTGTTGCTTCTTTTCTCTGATTATCTATCTTCTGGAAATATACTGAATTTACACTTGCTGATGGTTCTTCTCTCAGTCTTTTCACTTTTGCTACGTTTGTTCATTTCATTTGGATCTCAGTAGAGGAGAAAAAAAACCAAACCTATCTTTGGTCTGCAAATCTCACCTGGAAAATGGTGATTCAGTACAGCAATCTGGTATCAAACACTACCACTGAAACTTCTCGAGTCAAGCTCATCAATGACCACTGCTGCTTAAACTAATGCACACTGTTATGTTTTTACTTGAACTTTCTGTCACGTCTGATACTGTGTGACCATCCTTCTTCCTGAAATGTTCACTTGATTTCCATAACACTGATCGCTCCAGTTTTCTCCTGCCTTCTGGCTACTTCTTTTTGTCTCTTTTCCACACTTTTTCTCTGATCTTCATCTTCTCTCACTGTACATGTTCTCCCTAATTCCTGTGGTCCAGTGTATTCTTCTAGACCCCATTCTTGCAGTGCTTAGAAGGCTCCTCCTCTGAGAAGCTTTCCTTTCTCCTGTAAGGCTGAGACAGGCACCCTAAGTGTCCCTAGAGTACATAAGGGACTACTCTAGAACTTCTCACATTGTTCCATATTGCCCATTCACGGTCCTGTTTCCTCCTCCAGACTTACATTCCCTGAGAGCCCAAGTCTATATTTCTCATTCCCAGTAACTTCCCTGACAGATAGCTGCTGCTCAATAAATATTCGCTGACTTGAATTGAGATCATCAATATGAAAAGGTGCTTTGTGTGTTACACATGCTATTACTGGTAACAATAGTAAAAGTTAGCCAGGCTTAGTGGCTCAGCCTGTAATCCCGCGCCTTTGGGAGGCTGAGGTGAGTGGATTGCCTGAGCCCGCGGGTTCGAGTCCCGCCTGGGCAGCGAGACCTCATCTCTACAATAAATCCAAAAATCAGCCGGGCAGGGTAGCGCATGCCTGTAATTCCAGCTAACTTGGAAGGCTGAGGTGGAAGGATCGCCGGAGTCCAGCAGGTCGAGGCTGCGGTGGCTGGGAGCGGCCACTGCACTCCAGTCCGGGCGACAGAGTGAGACTCCAACTCAAAAAAAAAAAAAAACCGAAAAAACAATAGTAAAAGCTTTTATTCTGAAGAAAAAATATGCCAGGTAAAGATAAAACTCATGGGCCACCCAAGTCCCAAGTCCCACCACTACACAGTACGTCCATGGGATAAACCTCAAGCTAATAAGAGAAAATCTGAAATTCTTAATTAGTGTAACAGAAATTAATTTATGTTTTCCATAAATTGATGATACACATTATGCTGTGAAAATTATGTCCATTTCGTTCCTTAGTAACTCTTTAAAATCAAACCAATATAGATTACTCTCATCAAAAACACCTCACACCCATGTTCACTGAAGCATTATTCACAATCACCAAAAGGCAGAAGCAACTTAAGTATCCAGTGACAGATAAACGAATAAGCAAAATGTGGTATGTATATATATATATATATATATATATATATATATACAGTGGAATAGTCAGCCTTTAAAAAAAAGGAAATTCTGACACATGTTACAACATGAATGAACCTTGGGTATGTTCTACCAAGTGAAATAAGTCAGTCACAAAAAAGACAAATACTGTATAATTCCACTTACATGAGAATAGTCAAATTCCCAGAAACAAAAAAGTAGAATGCAAAGTTACTGATTAATGTTCAGAGCTTTAGTTTTGTAAATTAGAAAGAGTTCTGAAGATAGGTGGTAGTGACAGTTGCACAACCATGTCAATGTACTTAATGCCACTGGACTATATACTTAAAAATGATTATAATGGTAAATTCTGTCATGTGTATCTTACTACAATTTAAAATATAAAGTCTCACATACAATATGTCATGTTTTCTCAGAATATTTTCCAAACAAATAAAATTCTAACCTATACCTGAAATGAAAATAAAGTAATCAAATTATAGAGACGTAAAGAGAAGTACATCAGATACATGAAAGATTATGGAGGATAAAAAACAACTATAGAATGATAGCAACAATAATAATAGCTTTTACTGAAAGCTTTTCTCAAAGAAAAGAAATTTAACAGATTGTGGCACTATACTACATGCTTTACATGAATTCATTCATTCAAAATGACTATAAGAGAAAGGGAGGGCTTAGAGAGATTAAGTCACTTCCAATGGTCTCACAGCTAAAAAATGGCCGAAATGGGATTCAAACCCACGTGCTCTGGTAAAAATTCCATGTTCTGACCTAATATATGCCTGGACACTGGGATGAGAGGGCTGGTGAGAAGAAGATGACATCAAAACTTTCCCTAAGTTTTCAAATTTAAGAGACAAATGAAAACAAAGCAAATGATTGACAAAGTACCTTTTATGTGCCAGGCACACATGGCATGTAAGAGATTCAAATCAGATCCCGGATCTGAGGGAATCCAGTATATTGGGAGAGGCAGATATGCACAGAAATAATAAGGTAGTCCAAGCTTGGAGCTGCCTAAGAGGTCTAAACTGAGGAGAGCAAGTCTAACATAGAGTATCTTATGCAAATCTACACAATCCTGGCAATAAAGAGTGCTGAATAAATACTGACTAAATGAAATAAAATCAGTGTATAGAAATAAGTTCTGTCTCAGGACGCATTTGGTGGGGGGAAGGCAAAAGGATCAACTTTGCTTTTTTTGTCTCAAAGAGAAGAAATTTAACAGATTATAGCAATCATTAACATTCAAATCATATTAAAGAAAAAACTGACTTTTTATTCAGGTTATACTTAAATAATAATGTTATAAGTATCACATGTTAAGTGTTACCATAGTAAAGATTTTGAGACAGATAGTGATTACATGAAATTTAAACCACCGCATAAAATTCATACTGCAACTTGAATAGCCTTATTTTTCTAAACAGAGACTGAGAGATTAAAAAATCACATAAGGACACTGAAGTAATCTACTTTGAAACTCTAGATTCAAGTAGTTTCACTTACATCTTCTGCTGCCCTTCAGTTCTCTCCGGACTTAACATCTACCCTCCTTCCCACAGCATACCAAGAAAACACTTATTGGCGTGTTTATGTCAACAATTGAAGAGACATATCTCGTTTCCAGAAGCTTAAAATAATTGCTACCTGCTTACCTCAAAATCACATCAGCACCTTCTATACTAAGATACTAAGGCCCCCCCACTGCAGTCTTAATAACTGCTACGTGAGTGCAGTCATGCACTTATGACAACATTTCGGTCAAGGATGGATCGTATATATAACAGTGTTCCCATAAGGTTATGCTGGAGCTGAACAATTCCTATCGCCTACTGACGTTACAGCCACCATAAATGTCATCACAGTGCAACGTGCTACTCAGGTATTTGTGGTGATACTGCTGTAAACAAACCTACTGTGCTACTTATCATATAAAAGTTTAGCATAGACAATTATGTATAGTATGTAATACTTGATAATGATAATAAACTACAATATGTTACTGGTTTCTGTATTTACTATACTTTTTATTGTTATTTTAAGGTATACTCCTTTTACTTATTAAAAAAAGTTATCTGTAAAACAGCTTCAGGCAGGTCCTACAGGAGGCATTTCATGAGAAGTCAATGTTATCACAGGAGATAACAGTTCCGTGTGTGTTACTGCCCCTGAAGACCTTCCAGAGGGACAAGATGTGGAGGTGGAAGACAGTGATACTGATGATCCTGACCCTCTGTAGGTCCAAGGTAATGTGGGTGTTTGCATCTTTGTTTTTAACAAAAAAGTTTAAAAGTAAAAAAAAAAATTTTTGCAAAGCAAAAAGTTGATAGAACAAGGATATAAAGAAAAAATATTTTTGTACAGCTATACAAAATGTTTGTGTTTTAAACTGTGTTCCTACAAAAGAGTCAAAGAGGTGAAAAAAAGTAACAGTTTATAAAGCAAAAAAGTTATAGTAAGCTAAGATTAATTTATTATTGAAGAGAGAAAAAGTTTTTTAAAAATAAATTTAGAGTAGCATAAGTGTATGGCCCACATCCTAGATGCATAGTAGGCTATACCATCTAGGTTTGTGTGAGTACACACTATTATGTTCACACAGCAAAGAAATCACCAAAAGACACATATCTCAGAACATATCTCCACTGTTAAGCACTGTGTGACTGTATATACTATACCTTGTTCCAATATCAAGCCAGCTGCCATAATCCTTGACCAAGAAGAAAAAATGCTGTAAAATAAAATGAAATATGGCTCCATTAAAAACAAAACTATTTAGGTCCCCAAACAAGGTCATTTTAGGACAATATATTTCAGATTTCTGACCTTTCAGAACTACTATCTGACTGGAATCAGCAAAAATATGCCCTTTACTGAAATGTTTGTGTGGATTAAAATGAGCAATAATCTAAAAGTCAGAAACAGAATTATCGTTCAATCAAATGAACACAAAAGTGGCATTTGTAAATAACCAGAAATAGAAAAAACCAACTTTATTTAATAAGATACTGAATACCAAAGATGTCATTGGAAAGAAGCTGTATCATTCATTCATCAAGAAATACATACTGACTGCCTACCATGTGCTAATTATTGTGTTAGGTCCTGAAGATAAACTCTCCCTCACAAAGCATGTAATCTAGTAAATGAGTCAGTCAAACTATCAGGTGTGTGTGAGAGAGACAGAGTGATGAATGTTACCACTCGAAAATACAAGCAATTATGGGAGTACAGAGGAAGGAATATTATTCTGACTGGGGTAGAAAGGAAAGCATCTACTGTAAGGTTAAATCTAAGTGAAAAGCAGGAGTTCCATGAAAGACAGGGTAGCGAGACAGAAGTTTCTGGCAAAAAGAACAGCCTATATAAACATCAAGAGTTCAGACAGAGCTTGGTAGGTTCAAAGTAATGTTGGTATAGAAAACAGTATGGAGAGGTGACAGTTGACATCACGTCAAGTAAGCAGAAGCTAGATCACAAATGGCTTTGCAAGTTAAATGAAAACATCTGATTTTTTAATATAAAATCAATAAAATAATTTCAATTCTCTTCTACTGACATGTCTCATTCTATATTTGCCACTTTGTGAGCAAAACCAAAACCTGATTTGTTTCTCGCTTTATGTGTGGTCAACTTCAGAAATATATTGGACAGACAGTTCAACACAATATAAAAATGCTCTCATCTAAATCAACTGACTAAGAATCTGATATGTGAAGTTACCCTTATTGGTGTCTCTAGTCACTTTTAGCAAGGGGTATTATATAGTGAAGAATTAATCTTACCCAACAAGAGCTCTTGCCTTTGTTCTCAGCTACTGGGAGGTGATTTCTAGGCCCTTGGAATACCATGCCCGATAGAATTATTCTTCCTGGGGCCTTGACCACCCAACTGTTTAACAATGCTATTTATGACTGTGGCTTTGGCCCATGTGGTATCAGTTCTACTCCAGGAAAGACTTAAGATGAAAGGTCCGTCATGTAGGTATTATGTGATCAAGCCCCAATAAAAAGCAAGGACACAAAAGCTCAGGTAAGCCTGGTTGGTTATTCTGTGCGTATTGTTGCACATCGATACTGGAAGAGTAATGCTGTCCTGACTCCACAGGGAGAAGGCAACAGAAGCTCTGTGGGTGGTGCCCTCCTAGACTCTACCCTACGTGTCCTATTATTTTAAAATGCATCAATAATATGATGGCAATAAACCATCACTGTGAATACAACAACATTCAGTGAGTTTTGTGAATCCTTTCAGTGGATTACTGAAGCTGAGGGTGGTTTGGGGAACCCCCTGACTTGCAGACATAAAATAGGTTCCTCTTTTTGCTAATACACGATATACAAGAGGCCCACCTATACGTGCCCCATCAGTACTCCTTTATTATAGCTGCATTTTGGTAACATCTTCCCAATCGAGAAGTTGTATTTCCTTTCTCCTGCCTTCCTTTTCTCCTCCCTCTCTTTCTGCCTTTTTAATCTGAGAGAAGGGTTAAAAAAAACCCAACATTTCAATAAGAAAACAATGTATTATCTAAACCTGGAGTTAGCTTTTGCTGTTAACTTCCTTTGAAAAATTCATTTCAGAGTCAAAGCAGTAGATTCGAATAAATCAAGTAATAAGACTTTGGGCACCTTAAGAAGATTACTCTTACTGCATAATAATTAATATAAAAAGAAAGTAATTTATATGTGTAAATTATGCCGGCATTCACATCTCAAAATCTAAAGATTTCACATACAGAAATGCATTCATATTTCTCTTGATTAAACTAACTCCATTTAGCTTTATACTGATTATCTAATAATGCCTTACCAAAGCCATAATGTCTGACATGACGAGAACAATGAGAAAGAGACTGGAAAAAAGAAATAAAGAGAAATTACATATAATGCAAGAAGCACATTTTTCAAGCACATTAAAATTCAAGTGAGAATAATCAAATAACCCAATATTCTGTTAATACTTTTGCTTCTGAAAGTGTTACTTGCGATAAGAGTTCTTTTTATATTACCATGGGTAACTATCCCATAGTGATGAGCAGGTCTTAAAAAATGTTATTGAACATTGGATATTTATTTCAGTGAAATGAATGAAACATGAATTATGCTTTTTAAAATTAAACTTTCAAATAATTGTGGTCTCACATCCAACTGCAAGAAGTAATACAGAATGATCCCCTATAACCTTTACCCGGTCTTCCCCAATGGGAATATCTTGCAAACCATGGTAGGATATCACAACCAGCTAGTAAGTCAGTTGACTTCTAACAGCAAGTCTGGCTCCAGAGACTGAGCTCTTAGCCGTTCTGCACACTGCCTTCCCATGGCTCTACTGACCCTCAAGAGCCTTCAGCGTCTTCATCATGTTCCTCTGAATGTGTCTCTTGTTTATTCATATATTGTTCAAATGTGAAGGCATAAATGTCACATACTACCCCATATTCATGGTAATCTAATATATAGTTGGATAGGGTTACCACTCTCCTTGCCCTGGATAAAATAATCCTACTAAAGGCAGGTTAGTTTTTAACGGTATTATTTGATCTCCAGGTTGTCTTAAAGATACTGATTACTAAAAGCCTGTAAGTTTACCTCATAAATACACTTTGATTCAAGAAATAAATACCTGTTATTGGGTTTTTTATCAATTGATAATAAATGTTACTTATCATCACCACTAACCTACTGTGATTGTTGACAGCAATAGATTCTGCTTTCAGTCTTATCCTCCTAAAGTTATTATCCATGTAACAGAAAGAGGAGCCTTCAAAACCTTCCAATGGCTTCTTTCCACGAATGGAATAACTCTGAAGTTCTATCTCAGGCCTAAATGGCCCCATATGATCTGCCCCTGTCAACCTCTTCAACCTTATTTCCTACAATTCTTCTGCGAGCACACTCTGCTGGCCTTCTTGCTGTTCTTTGAATACATGAAGCATGTTTTCAACTCTTGCTCTTTGTATGTTCCTCCCCCTACACCTGCAATGCTCTTTACTCACATAATTTCATGGTTCACTCTGTGTTTACTCAGGTTTCTGCTTTCATGCCTTCTCCTTAGAGAGATCTTCCTAGATCACTCCATTTTCCCCCCTGAGATTTAATACTACCTGAAATCTTATTACAAGCATTTTATTTTATTTTTCACCCTGAGTAGATGGTAAGCTCTGAATAAATACCCTAATGTATCACCAGTGGATAGTACAGTGCATGGAAATGATAGAAACTCAAAATATATGTGTTCCATGAATGGTAGTAGTAAACAGCCTAAAATATAATTGAAAACGGCTAATACTACACATTGAGAAATTCCTTTTAGATATAAGACTGACTTTAGGTTTCATAGAAAACTAAAAAAACTTGACCCAGGAAAAATTAGACTTGGTAGAAACCACACCAAATAACACTGTAGAAGCTAAAACCACACAGAATAAAATCTGTAACGGACAAAATAATGATGGAAGAAGCAAATCTTGACAATTACCAGATTTATATCTGATCTAGATGTGTTAGACCTGGCAGTGCTAGTAAACATAAAAGAAAAAACACACACCGGCAGGAGCTAAACTTCTTAGAATTTAAAAATAAATAAAAAATAAATAAACCAAAGTTTACTTGTGATTTTTTTTTAAAAACAGGGTCTCACTTTGTTGTCCAGGCTGGAAGTACATTGAACTCCTGGGTTCAAGGAATTCTCCCACTTCTGCCTCCCAAGTAATCTTCACTTTCACTTGAGAGGCAGAAAGAAGTGGGAGGATCCCTTGAGCCCAGGAGTTCAAGACTGCAATGAGCATGAATATGAATATATATATATATATATATATACACACACACACATATACATATAATTTAATCAAACATAGACCTGAAAAATAATCCCTTTCAGATCTTATTTGATTGGCTGTTGAATACTTCTGTAATCTTAAAACTGTCTTCTCTTTCTCAGCTGCCTTCTAATACTGTCTTGTGTTTTGCTGCATTCTGAAAGTGACAAAGATCTCCATGGTCCCTATCATCTCATACCGTGGAATGAACTGGCCCCATTTGTAGAGACAGGGTCTCGCTAGGTTGCCCAGGCTGGTCTCGAACTCCTGGCCTCAAGCAATCTTCCTATCTTGGCCTCCCAAAGCACTGAAAGCACAGGTATGAGCCATTGCACCTGATCTTTTTATGAAAATTAAGTAAAAATTAATTGACTTTAATTTTAAAAATTTTAATAAATTAAAAATCAAGATGGAAATATTTAGAAATAGTTTCATTTTACTTCATATAAATTAATAAGGATTAAACTGGTGAAATAGAGCTTCCACTGGAACATACTCTCTCAGTAAAAGTTAGTCGATCTTATAGTAATTCTGATTCAAATCTGGATTCCTAAATATGGAAGCATATCATCCTGGAGATAAAAATGTTCATCAGAACAAATGGTATATTCAAAATGATAGTCAAAGTACATTCACTTCAATTAGTACAGGGCACCAGAAAACTAGCTTTTTGGCTTCTAGAGCACCCTGTTGACAATTGAAGGCCCAAGTGTGTGTGTGTGTGTTTGTTTTTTGTTTTTGTAGTTGCTGCTGTGTAACCAGGGGTCTCATATAGTTGACTATTTAATCAAACACAGAGCTGAAAAATCATTCCTTTCAGATCCTGTTTGGTTGGTTGCTGAATACTTCTGTACCACTAAAACTGTCTTCTCTTTCTCAATCGCCTTTTAATATATTCTCTTACAATCTGCTGTATTATGAAGGTGAGAAAGGTCTCCAGAGTCCAGGTCATCTCATACTGTGAAATGGACTGGTTCCAACTGTAAAGACTTTTGGCAGGTTATTTCACACTCCCACCCCAATCCACAACTCCCTTTTCTCTAACCACTTTCCAGTTTAGAATGGATATGTGTCAGCCAGTGAGACATAATCAGAAATCTACTAGAAGGGGAGCTTGGGGAGACGCTGCTGCCCTGACAGAAAGGGAGAATCAGCTGGCATAGCTCTCTTCTTTTTTCTTCCTTAGTCCTTTTCCCTTCTTTCTATCTGAATGGCAGATGAGATTCATGGACGCATGAAGAGAAAAACATGAAGATAAAAGCAATACTCTAAGAATGGGAGAGCAGAAAACTAGGGTTGACGATGGATCATATAGCCTGGGCTGCCAACCTCCAGACTCCAAGCTAGGTGAGACACACAAACCCCTACTTCTCTCAGTTACTGTTAGCTAGATTCTCATTGCTTACAGACAAAAGCATTCTTAACAGATCAACCGTCAGGTAATCTTCATCCCCAGATACTACCTTTTAGTGGTCTCTACCCAAAATGTATAAGACTTTGTTGATGAACCCAGTTATCAAGACTGATAAAGTAGGTAAATTATTAATAATTAGAAAAGTAAATTTCAAGTCATGCAAAATAAAATAATGCTACCACAGCTTTCCTACTTCCCCTCTGTTCAATACCCATTTTAAGGAAGGAGTCAGAAGAAAAGAAATCATCTCACTGGTTTGTTACATTGAACTCATCCTCGGCATTATGGATCCAATAAACTAGTTATTAGTATGAACCCCATCCCCACCTTAACCCCTAAGCTTCCCTGAGTTGTAAGAAAAGACTTACCAACATAAATAATGAGCTTGTAAAAATGTGAACAGAAAGGAGACATGATATCAGTGATACCTGGCAAGTGAATACAGCAAGTAAAGATGAATGGTTTGTGTGATGGATTAATGAATGGTTTGTGTGATGGATTAAACAAACAAACAGGAGGAGAAACTAGTTTTCAATAGGAAGAAAGGGCATCACTGGGTTCAACATGGGACATTAAGTTTGAGAAGTCATCCAGGAAATGTCAGTGATATGTAAAGGTTTAAAGGTCAAGAAAGACTTTCATAAAGTCTTCACAAACTCAGTTTTGCTAACCTTGCCTCAGTTATCTCCCATTGTGTTTAGTTTGTCATTGCACTCATCTCAAGATAGAATTACTATCCACACACACACATATACAGGTACAGGTACACACAGACAGACACACACACACACACACACACACACACACATACACAACTTTGATGAGTCTTCTATTTTTTTATTCCATGCCTTCAGCTCTTCTTATTTATTAATTAAAATCCCTTGTAAAAAATTCATCTACTAAGAAAGATGCAAAAAGTACATGTCATTCACCATTCTTTTAATTGCATCTAAGTAACTATCTTTTATGAGATATTGATAAGCCATAAATGCTTTCAATATTAAATTCATGTAAATATTCTGTAAAAATATACTAAATGAAACTAGGAATGAGATTTCTACTATTCTTAAACAGTAGAAGAAATATGTTTTAATGGCATATGCATAATAATATGCTAAACCCAGTTCTAGCTTAAACTCATCAAGAACATGCAAATTTCAGCTAATATTAGTTATTTCTTTCAGCATTGACTATGCTAGCTTGATTCAAGAATAACAAAACTGCTAGGAAGCTTCATATTTATATCAAGTGTTTTCCAGAGTCCCTGTGCTGATGAGGACATTTTATTCGTTAAAAAATGCAAATGGTTGAGTTGACAGCTTCTCTTCCAAAGTCGTGATTGCCTAAGACTGACTACTCCAGAAATTCCTCAAAACTCAGAAACAATACTTCCCACTCCAGTTGTCAAACGTGTAGAAATCAAGACTGACAAACTAAGTATATTATTGACATTAGAAAAGTTAATTTTAAACCATATACAATGAAATAATGTTAACAGATTTGTCTAATAAATATTTAAGAAAGAAGCCAAAATAAAAGTTAGAATGATATTTTTTGTAGGCACAGTTATAACTATACCAAAAGTAATTAACTACAATAATTTAATATTTATGTTTTACTGTTTTCTAGGGAGGTTCTTCACTAGCTTGAATAATATTGCAATAACATTTTATTGCTGAGAAAGCATATTCATCTGCTAGAGGCCCTGATCAACCAACTTCCTCTAATGACAATGAAATTCTGATTACAAGGGTGAAATATTTCTCATTTTTGCAATAAACAATCTCTGTTACAGTGCCTTACTAGCAATCACATGAAATATCTTTAAATGTTTACTCTCATTTCCTAAAAATGGGCAAATCAAATGCTTCTTAAACTAATTAATCTTACCTTTTTGATGATAACTGAGTAGTTAATTGAACTGCTTCAAAAGCACACATAACAAGAACAAAGGGGATTAAAATCTGTTTAAAAGACAATAAATGATGCTATGGGTAATGGGAACATTTGAAACAAATACTATTTCTGCTTGCAGAAATATTTTCAATTTCTCAAGTAACTTTTATATATACTAGTGAAGAGCAAACACTGAGATAAAAGTATGATACCAATTACACATAGAATAGTGATGAAATTGATTTAAAAATCTATATTAATAACATGTACAATATAAAATACAGCAAATATCAATACATATTCAAAATAAAAGCCTATTACAAATTTTGTTCCATTTAACTCACTCTAATAATTAATGACAATGTTTAAAAAATTCCAAGAGTGTGAAAGGCATAGCGTGAAGTTCCAAGAGTGTGAAAGGCATGCTCAAATCAAATAAATTATGTAGCCTGATAATTTGATTCACAGATCCCTGAACCCATCTGGTTATTTTAAACTATAACATTATAAACACAATTTAGCATTTTTATCATTGCTTTTTGGGTTTTTTTAAAAAATACCAATTTATTTATGATTGCAAAGTTCATGTTCATTGTAATACATTTGAAAAAAATATACAGAAAAATATATTGCAATTTATGCTGGTTGAACATCCATAATCCAGAACTAACAGTGAAAATATCTTGAGGCATTACTTTCCAGTAACCAGTTTTGAAAAAAAGTATGTACTTGATGTTTCAAAAAAGAGAAGAAGATATGGAAAATAAATGATGCTCAAGACTGCATAAGATTCTTTTTCAAGTCAAGAACATATGAATAAAATAGAATTCAGTCAACAAAAGTCATCAAGTGTATTATGTTGTTAAAGCCTACTGCATTATTCTGTTGATTAAGAATCTAGCATTCTAATTTGAGCTTTATTTTTCTTTCTTTATGTCTTTCTTCCTTTTTTGATTTAAAGTAAAGGTCCACAGTCTTTAACAGGTGGAGAATAGAACAATAATCATTTTTAAAAACGTGAATTAAAATTAAGGAAACAATAACATGTTTGAAATAATTCAATATAGAATGAAACATGAGAAAATGTAGGACGTCTTCTTGGCATTTCTTTTCTTTTTTTTTTTTTTTTTTTTGAGTTGGAGTCTCACTCTGTCACCCAGACTGGAGTGCAGTGGCCACTCCCGGCCACTGCAGCCTCTACCTGCTGGGCTCCAGCGATCCTTCCGCCTCAGCCTTCCAAGTAGCCGGCATTACAGGCATGCACTACCACACCTGGCTGATTTTTTTATTTATTGTAGAGATGAGTTCTTGCTGCCCAGGCGGGTCTCGAACCTGCGGGCTCAGGCAATCCACTCACCTCAGCCTCCCAAAGGCGGGGGATTACAGGCTGAGCCACCGAGCCCGGCGGCATTTCTTAAATTTACATTTGTATTAGTGTAGTAACTAAAAGTAGATATCAATTCTATTAAGATAATACACGCTTTTAACAATTATTACTTAATGTGATCTAAACAGAAGGTAACTAGATATTAGGCAGGTATCAGTTTCTTTATTTAAACAAATATGTATTAACTATACAAAATGTGCCAGGCATTGTGGTAGAAGGAGTAAGACAAGCATAATGGCCCTAGAGAAGAAGAGCATAAATTACATTCCACGGGAGAGTCTGAACCCCTGGAAAGCCGAGAATTGTCATTATCTTCGTATTGTCAGCACCCAGCTGGTGCCTGGCACATTACTGAATGTAGCACTCAGTGAAATATTTGTTGAATGAATGGGTCAATTCTAGGTGCATGGATTACAAGAAAAGATGATAACATGTTGGCAGTCTCATAGGTGGGAAACATTACCTTAGAATCTTTAGAAGCACTGCAGTTTTGATCACAGTTTCCCCACAGGCTTTAATCACAGCTGATAAGACTTTCTGAGATTAATATGGAATCCTTACTCTTTTAAAATCAAATGCGCTTAGGAGTAAAGCAAAAAGTTTAACTGTGTTTTGAAGTAAGGGACAGAGGGTCCCACCTCTAGTTCTGCAGGGGTATCAATACCAAGTCAGAACAGGTATCCTTTCCATTGCTATTTAACTCCATCACAATGAACTTACTATCTTAATATTACACGGTGTTACATAATCTTAATGTCAGAATGAATTCACAATCTTAATCAATCAACTGCTTAATAAAAAGAAAATAAGAACACTAACCTTCCACATCATCAGGGCTCCCATCATAAAAGGACTGAACACAGTCAGAAAGCAGTAGACAGAGGCAAGATCAAAGCTAGAGAATTATAACATGGAAAAAGGATTTAGAATTCGCTCTGCAACTCTCAGAGAATGTTTTACTAAACAGGATGTTTAATCTAATTCTCTGAAACCTACTTTTATGAAAACACAAGCATATATCATATTAAGAATTATTACAAAGGCACTAAAATGAACAAAGTAGATCTGAAACATGCCAATACCGACCAATCTCCAAACGATTCAATATTAAAAGCAAAGTACAGAACAAAAGGTACAGAAGTCCCAAATTGCATTTTTTTTTGTTATGTGTATGGTGTTTTCATTTTAAATTACCTGTTAATAGAAGCTATATTTCCAGTCCCAAAAAATGCCGTCACTAAGAAGAAAACCTAAATAGAGTTAAGGAAAAGGCAAAACAAGCTAGAATTTACACAAATTTCCTTTCCTTTGGAAAAGATGCACTAATTCTACCATCAGAAAAATTTACTTTTTTTTTTTTTTTTTAGCCAGGTTCTCACTCTGCTGCACAGGCTAGAGTATAGTGGCTGGATCACAGCTCACCGCAGCCTCAACCTCCTGGGCTCAGACGATCCTTCTACCTTAGCCTCCCGAGTAATGGGGACTACAGACATATGCCACCATGCCCAACTAATTTTTGGTAGAGATGAGGTCTATCTATGTTGCCCAGGCTGGTCTCCAATTCCTGGGCTCAAGCAATTCTCCTGCCTTGGCCTCTCAAAGTGGTAGGATTATAGGTGTAAGCCACCACGCCCAGTTGATAATTCATTTTTTCACCTGTGCATTGATCATGAGTTGTTTTAAATGAATGTCCCACTGTATCGACTTGTGAATTCAATTTATAATAACACATTGAAGAAGCAATGTGCTGGGAACAATGAGGCATGAGAGGTCATCTGCCCTTGGTCACCAGTAGCCTTAGGAAGGTTATTTTCTTCTTCCCTAACATGAGCAAGTAGGACCGTATCAGTAGTTGGCTACTAATAATTTTTTTCAAAAGAAAAATGTGAACCTAGTGCACATAAAGGACATTTTCAGCTAAAAGACAGACTTTTCGTTTATATATGCTTGCTATGTGCCCACTACATGTAAAACACATGCTAGATAGACTCTGACTCAGGAAGAAACAAGATGGCATGGTTTAAAATAATTCAATAAGCCGGGCTTGGTGGCTCAGCCTGTAATCCCACGCTTTTGGGAGGCTGAGGTGAGTGGATTTCCTGAGCCCGCGGGTTCGAGACCCGCCTGGGCAGCGAGACCTCATCTCTACAATAAATTTAAAAAAAATCAGCCGGGCATGGTAGCGCATGCCTGTAATTCTGGCTACTTGGAAGGCTGAGGTGGAAGGATCGCCGGAGCCCAGCAAGCGAGGCTGCGGTGGCCAGGAGCAGCCACTGCACTCCAGTCTGGGTGACCATGTGAACTCCAAATCAAAAAATAAAAAAGAATAAAATAAAATAATTCAACAGAGAATGACATGAGACAACGTTAAACATCTTTTTCTTAGTTAAGTAAATATTTGATATCTACTTGATAAAAAGTTGATATTAATCCTGTTGGTGTCCAAGAACTTACTATTAGTTAAGTACTTAAAATAGTGCCAGCCCATTGAAAGGGCTCCATAAATATTAGCTATTTTATTACTATAGACACACACAGGTGGTAAAGAAACACTAAAGAGGAAGTATGAATCAGGACAACTTTCAGTGAAAATGTAGCATTTGAGTTGGTGAGTTGAGCTTTAAATACTTTCATGGATCCAGTGATTTGACCGGTCCTCTAACCAACCAACATTTATTGTCTGGCATTTTTAGAGATAGAGCTAGGCACCAAGAATACAAATATAAATAAAATGGTCTCAAAATTCTCATATGGTGACTATGATTATATGATATGTAGAAATAGAAGTAAGACATTTTAAGGTAAAGAAACAGTAGGGGGAGCAAAAGATGTAGCCAAGAAACAGTACACAGGTATGATAGGAACTTAGTTTATTGAAGGTTGCCAGAAAGAAATATAGATTTGTGGCATATTAATACAAAGCTTTGAGCTTCACTGTGGAGACAATGAAGTGGAGTAAACATTTTAGGTGAGTGGTATAATCAAGAAATATCAGTGACTGTGTAACATTTGGATAAGGGAGACAAATAATTGGAGAAAATCTAATTAGTGCGCTATTTCAGTAGTCCATGTCAGAAATAAGGAAGTCAGAAATGGTGCAGTGGGAGTCAAAATAGAGAATGAAGGGAGCTAGTGGGGCTGTGGACAAAGCAGTTAAATATGACAAGCTTGGATGGCTTGGGTGGTTGGAAGTATGTTTGTGCCATAAAATGAGGGGCCAGGGACAATGGCTCATGCCTGTAATCCCAGTTTTTGCAAGGCCAAGGTGAGAGGATGGCTTGGGTCAGGAGTTTGAGACTAGCCTGAGCAACATAGTGAGACTCTGGTTTTACAAAATACAAAAATTTAGCCAGACGGGGTGGCATGAGACTATAGTCCTAGGTACTTTGGAGGCTGAGGCTGGAGGATCACTTGAGCCCAAGAGTTCAAGGTTACAGTGAGCCACGATAGCACAACTGAACTCCAGCCTGCCAGAGAAAGTGATTCTGTAGAGGAGTGACAGTTGTTAATCAGTTTGGGGCATATATTTGGCAATGTCCAGCAGAATGCTGGACATGTGGCTCTTCAGGTCAGAGAGAGGTCAAGGTTGGAAAAATAGATCTCAGATTTGTTTGTACAGAAGTGTCTGTCAAAGCAACAGGAGAAAATGGCATTAACCATGTACAGTAAGAGAAGGTTAATGATGGAGCTTGGAGAAAAAAAAATCATTCAAAAGCAGGCAAAGGAAGAGGTTTTGGAGGAGAGAAGAGAGACTATAAAAAGCTAAGAAGAGAACATAAATTGTGTCCTGGAAGTCAAGGGAAAAGAAAGATGAAAATCAATAGAGTGGAAAGTTCTACTGTGGTCAAGTAAACTGAATAGATTAGACTGTATGATGAGGAAGCCCCTGCAGACATTGGGAGTACGGTTTCAGCAGAAACAGCTGACAAATATTGATAGATCGTTACCATGTGCCAGGCACAGTTCTAGGCTTATGGATATAGCATATAAATGGAGAAAAAAACAATGAAAGCAACTACAAATTTTTCTTTCCAAAAGCTTGGTAGCAAACAGAAAGGACAGGAGGAGTAGATGAAATTATGATTTATGGAAACACAGGGCTCAAGGGGGGAAGTGTTTTATTAGTATTGGCTGAGTGGAAGGAACCTGTGAAGAGAGAGAGAAAGCAAAACTGAGGGTAAAAGCAAGAGGTAGAAAGGAAAGAGTGAGAATATTTATCTTTCAGATCTGAGGGGTCCAAACTCTGTAAATTCAAAGAAAATACCTCCAATATTTACAAATCATATCTGATAAGGGGTTAATATCCAAAATTCTTATAGTTAACATATAAAATAGTCAAACTTAGAAACAAAGTAGAATGATGGTTGTCAGGCACTTGGAGGAAAGGGAAATAGGAAGATATTGGTCAAAGGGTCCAAAGCTTCAGTTGTGCCACTAAATAAATAAGGTTTGAAGAGCCAATGTACAACAAGGTAACTGTAAGTTAGTAATACTGTATAGTATATTGGAAATGTGGTAAGGGAGTTGGTCTTAAGTGCTCTCCCCACATACACACACACAAAAGAAAGAAAACTGTAACTATGTAAGGCAATGAATACGCTAATTATCTTGATTGTGAAGATCATTTTACAATGTATACATATATCAAAACATCAGGTTGTATATACCTTATATACATGCAATTTTTTGTCAACTGTACCTCAATAAAGTTGAATATAATAAAATAAAGGAACTACCTTCCTATACATTTCTTGCAGCTGGCCGGGTACAGTGGCTCAAGCCTGTAATCCCAGCACTTTGGGGGTGCTGAGGCGAGAGAACTGCCTGAGCCCGTGGGTTCGAGACCAGCCTGGGCAGCATGGTGAGACCTTGTCTCTACAATAAATAAAAAACTGAGCAGGGCGTGGTAGCACGCACCTGTAGTTCCGACGGCAGAAGGATCGTTGGAGCCCAGTAGGTTGACGCTGGGGTAGCCATGAGTGTGCCACTGCACTCCAGCCTGGGCAACAAAGTGAGACTCCAACTCCAAAAAAAAAAAAATTTTTTTTCTTGTAGCTGGTCAGTTAGCCTTCCCAAAGTAAGACTTTATTCTGCCATACTGTCTTTGAAATGTCTAATAACCAATAACTTTCACAATATTGCCTCTGATGTGATCCAAAAACTCTTGTGAGACAGATGCTATGAGCTTAGGATAAAATACGTATTAAAAGATAAAAACTCATAACTAAAAAAAAAAAACAACCTCATAACTGGTTTCTTCTAAGATGAGGAAAATGAGATTGGGAATTGAAAGGAGTCTTTGGCTTTAGCTGTAATGTTTTAATTTTAAAAATATATATACACTAAAAAAATGAAATATCTTGGCATCTTCTTAACTGGAGAAGTGAAAGACTTTTATAGCGAAGACTACAAAACACTGCTCAAAGAAATCAAAGAAGACACAAACAAATGGAAAAATATTCCATGCTCATGGATTGGGAGAATCAACATAGTTAAGATGTCCATCCTACCCAAGGCAATCTACAGATTCAACATAATATCCATTAAATTACTAACATCATTCTTCTCAGACCTGGAAGCAACAATACAGGTATTCATATGGAAACACAAATAACCACAAATAGCCAAAATAATACTCAGTTAAAGAAACAAAGCAGGAGGTATCACTCTTTCCGACTTCAAACTTTATTATAAGGCTACAATAATCAAAATAACCTGGTATTGGTACAAGAATAGGCATATAGATCAATGGAACAGAACAGAGATTCCAGAAGCAAAACCTCAATTTTTCAACCAACTCATGTTCAACAAAGCCTCTACCAACAACTACTGGGGAGAGGAGAGCCTATTCAGTAAATGGTGCTGAAAAAACTGGCAGACCACATGCAGAAGATTGAAACAGGACTCCTACCTATAACCATACGCAAAATCGGCTCTAAATGGATCAAAGACCTAAACATAAAACCTCAAACTATAAGAATCTTAGAAAATGCAGGAGAAACTCTTATGGGAATCGGATTAGGCAACCAATTCCCGATCAAAACCCCAGATGTCCATGTCATAAGAGATAAGACAGACAAGTAGGACCTCATCAAACTGAGAAGCTTCTGTAAAGCAAAAGAAACCATGAAGAAAGTGGGGAGACAGCCCACAGAATGAGAAAAATATTTGCCAACTGTATATCTGACAAAGGTCTAACATCCAGGATCTATAAGAAACTCAAATGTGCCGAAAGGGAAAAAACAAACAGCCCCATTAAAAAGTGGGCAAAAGATATGAATAAATACTTCGAAAAGAAGACATATGAGCAGCCTACAGATACATGAAAAAATGCTCAGCCTCACTAAACATCGAAGAAATGCAAACCAGAACCACACTGAGATAGCACCTAACTCCAGTTAGGATGACCGTTATCAATAACTCAAAAAACAACAGATGCTAGAGAGGATGCGGGGAAAAAGGAATGCTTCTACATTGGTTGATGGGAGTGTAAACTAATACAACCTCTGTGGAAAATAGTGTGGCAATTTCTAAAAGATCTGAAAATTGACCTTACATACGACCCAGCAATCCCCCTTCTGGGAATATAACTGGAGGAACTCAAATCATTCTACAAAAAAGATACCTGCACATGCATGTTTATTACAGCATTATTCACAATGGCAAAAACATGGAACCAACTGTGCTGCCCTTCGAAAGTGGACTGGATTAAAAAAATGAGGTACGTATACACAATGGAATATTAAACAGCCACAAAGCAGGACAAAATTATGTACTTCACAGCAACTTGCATAGATTTAGAGTTTAACATACTTAGTGATTTATCACAGAAACAAAGAATTGAGACCACATGTTCTTATTTCGCTGTAACATTTATCATAATACTACAAGAAAGGGATTGGCAATAATGGGACACTGCTGGGGGAGGGGTTCATAATGTCGATAAGGGTACCTGATCTCAAACCAGGTGAAGTGAGGATCAATGGGAAGCCCAGACTTCACCTGTATGATGACCACTTACATTAATTCCAAATTGTACCCCACATCTTCAAAAAAAAAAACCAAACTTTTGTGAAAAAAATATATATACATATATGACAAAATACTCTTGATATCTTGAATGGTAAGAATATATACACATACAGCTGTTGGTTATATTATTCTTTACACTTTTCTACAGCTTAAATAAATTTTAAATATGACTCATATGAAAAAACCACAGTTGCAAGAGAGGTTAAATGGGTTCTAAGGTAATATCACTATTAAGTGATAGACAGAAAAACCTTCCATGTCTTCTTACTACTCCATTAAATGGGAAGCTGCAGCTCTTAAAACAAAAGACTCAACAAAGGATACAAGGAAAAAGGCCCTACGGATGTCATCCAGATACAGCTGCCGAAACTGAGTAATCTCAGTATTATAGGGGAACTGGATACTGGTGAGCTGTGAGGTAATAAGAAAAATATTAATATACAATCACAGTTGGCTTACTTCTATACTCAAAGGCAAGCTTACAATTACTAAGTTACAATGGCTCAAAACATACCCTGTGCTGACAAAAATAATAAAAAAGTAAACCTTTTCCTACAGCTCAATTACACCTTAATAAAATTTGCCAAAAGATAAAATAAGTTGCTAAAATATACAGAACAGAGTTGTAATGTTGCTATATACGTAATAAAAGTGAGAACCGAGCTTTTTCTTGGCTTATATAAATGCTTTACTTTTAAATCCCTATATAATTCTTCCCTTTTCAAAAACCCGATTTCCTCAGTGTCCTGATCTTCTTAAGCCCAGGTATGGTATGACATTAAAAGTCATGATAAAATTAATTATTTCTGTTTCTTTGTTCCTCTGTTAATTCTGTCTGCAGAAAAATTACTTTCTTTCTATAAAAAAGCTAAATATTCCTGTCTTTGATAAAATAGAAAGTAATTCAATTCCAACAAGATGAGTGCACTCTTGCTTAATCCCCATTCCCTCAAAAAAAAGACCATTAATTTTCCAGGAAGTTCTTGGGACTCTTTACTGTCTCTTCTAGAAAAAGATATACTTGCTTTCAGTTAAAAAACAGAATTAAAAAGTAACACAATGATCCTCAGCCTGCTGAAATATTTAATACTGAGAACAGTCTCTGATCAAAAGTGCTTTTCATGTATTGTTTTAATATTCCAGGGCTGAAGGTTAAAAACTAGTAATTATTAAATACACATATAAAGTTTCTTCTTTATTTAAATTAATTATTCTGAATTATCAATTACTTCTCTACAAACTTAACTGAAACCAGGTAAGGATGGATCAACTATGAAGGTGCTTTTCTGCAATATTCATTTTATCTGACCTCAGTAAAATTGTAAATTATCACCAAACTATCACCAAATTCTCAGAATTATCATCAGCTCTACATAAGACAACAAACATCAATTTAACTCTCTAGTCAAGCATGATAAAGGTATCCTTAAAATTTGCTTGGATTTTAGCCAATTCAAAGTATACTATGCTGCATAAACAGTCTCAGATTTGGACTGAAGCTACAATAATTAAGGCAACAGAATAAGCACTTTGGATTAGGATGACTAGAAAGAGAAAAACAACAGTGGGAACTTAAATGTCCCTTTATGACCAAATTCATAAATTGACATGTGACAACATAAAAATTCTTCTGACTGGAACTGATGGAAGGAAAAACTGGATGTGAAAAACAGAAAAATAAAACAAAGAGCATTCTTTTCTCCTCTATTCCTTCACCTATATTGATATTTTCTAATATCGGTGATTTTCAAGTAAGAAAAGTCCACCAATATATGCCTCTAAACAATAAAACTGTACTTTTCTCTAAGTAAAAATTTACTTACAATTTTTAGTTGTTTAACTTAATTACTAATGCCAAATAAAATTTACTAAAGTTCTTTAAACATTAAAAAATGTAAGTAGAAATAAAATTGCAAGTTACTTATAGGGAAGAAAAGATTTTAATATTCTCAAATAAACACGACAATGATTTTCACAAGCAACAAACTACCTTCTGTTTGCTGAAAACACCAGATTGTTGTAGGGTTTCTTGCTCCATGTATATCCAGACAAGCATCAAACATGACAACACTAATGGAAAGAGAGCTTCGTACCTAAGGAGTGGAAAGAGATGGGGGCAGGGAGAGGAGGCAGGTAGGAAAGGGCAGAAAGGAAAAAACAAAAGGCATTAAAATATATAAAAATGCAAATTTACACTGAGAGGTCCTTCTCAAAATTAAAATAATTTTGATAATACTTCTAAGTCATAATATCACAAAACTTAAATTTTCTTGGTTTTTCAGAAAAAAGTAGGACAGTAACATTTAAAATCCAACTTCAATATCATCTTTTTTGAAATTTATTAAATCTGGCCGTGCTCGGTGGCTCAGCCTGTGATCCCGCGCTTTGGGAGGCCGAAGTGAGTGGATTGCCTGAGCCCGTGGGTTCAAGGCCCGCCTGGGCAACTTGGTGAGACCTCATCTCTACAATAAAAATCAAAAAATTAGCCGTGGTAGCATGCGCCTGTAGTTCCAGCTACTTGGAAGGCTGAGGCGGAAGGATCGCTGGAGCCCAGCAGGTCGAGACTGCAGTGGCCAGGAGCGGCCACTGCACTCCAGTCTGGGCGACAGAGTGAGACTCCAACTCAAAAAAAAAAAAGAAATTTATTAAATCTTACAAATTATCTGTTTAAAATAATAGATTTAAAAATCATTCATAAAGCAAATGACAGGAATACACAAAAGAAAAATAAACAGGAAGACAAAAAAAGATAATTCTTGAGGTTAAATTATTAATACACATAGAAGATGAACATTCCAGATTTTCTAAAAAATGGGTGCAATACACAAATACAAATATGAGAATGTTTGACCTTCATAACTGATAAGAAAATTAAAACAATGGTGAGATATATTTGCCAATATTTAAAAGATAGCCTTGACAAGAGTGTAATGAGAAAGGAAATCTCATACTCTCTTGGGATACACACATTCTGGAGGGCCATCTATTACTGTACATCAAGAATCTAAAAAATATTCATATACTATAACCAAACTTCCAAAAATTTACCCTAAGAAAATAATCAGACATATGGATTATGATTTCCATTTCAAAGATGTTTGTTGTAATACTGCTTACAGATGAGAGAAACAGAAAACTGCATGTTCACAGGGGAGTGATTAAATAATGTATGGTATACCCATGGGGTGAGTGTAATGTAGACACAAAAACAGAGAAAATGCTCATGAGAAAACGGTGACAGAAGCCTTTTCTAAACTATTTCCACTTAGTTTAAAATAAGTGTTCCACCTCTGTAATGATCCCCAAATGCTCTACTACAGTTAGTACTTAGAAACTGTCTTGATCATGTTTACTTGTACGCATCTCCTACTAGTGTATAAATTCACTGAAAACTGAGTCTGCGTCTGTCTTGTCATGACTGCAGGCCCAGCTCACAAGAAGTATTGCTGAATGAGTTATTTACCTAATCAGGACAAAAACAAAAAGAAAACAATACAAAATCATATTTCCCTTTTGACTTCTTCAACCACTGAACTCTACATCATATAGCACTATGGCACTATTTCTTAAACACAGAAAGGAAAAAAACCCCAAATGTTCTAAACTCTGCCACAGATAATAAAACTAAATCACTGAAGACTGGGCAGAAGGAAACATTTGGATTTGGGAAAACGTACATAAATCACTTGGTATGCAAGATTTAGAAGGCATACAAGATTTAGAAGTATATGAACAGATATTATATACATGAGAAAATATCATTAGTAAAATAAGCACAAGCAGTACCAAGCAGTACCACTTTAGGCCTATTAAAATAACACTTGATATTGTCATTTAAAAATGAAAATACCAAATACCGTTAAAGATATGATAAAACAGTGTCCCTCATAGCTCGTTGGAAATATTATAAATTGGTCCTGTTCTTAAGATAATTAAGTTAAAAGTTCATAGCCAACGGCTTACCTATGCTATACTGAGAAGTGAACAAAGGAAATAATCTAAGTATGTAAAAAGCTTATGTCTAAAAACATAACTCAAAATATTATTTGTGATAATAAATGGCGGAAATAAAATTATAAAAAATAGAGGAATGGCTAAGGAAGTCAGGCAAATCATACCATGAAATATAAAATACCTATGAACGTGGAGACTAGAATGCCTGTGAGCTACCTGTAAAAATGCTTCCGAAATAATGTAAATTAGAAAAAAGGTACAAAGTAGTACAAGAACCATGATTAATTCTATTCTATTAAAAGGACACACATAGAGTTAAGATTGAAAGGAAATAGAAAAGAAATATACAGGAGTAGAGTTAACTAAGGATTTTATTCCTTATCCCTTCCTTCCAAAATGTGGTGATACTATTTTTACAATGAACTTTTTAAAAAATGAAAAAACAAAGATTTAGAATGCCTGTATCCTGGCCATTCTTTAAAGTTCAGTTCAACTTTCATAGGAGTCCTTGATGGCACTAACTTTGCTCCCCTATTCAATTGCTTTCTCCAGCCATTCTTCATATCATGTAATGCACAACTTAATTAACTCACAATAACTTATTTGTTCAATTTTTTAATTGTCTAGCACTGCAAAATATAGTTCTTATTTTATGACAGCTTATAACTCTACTTTACACTGACTGGTAGTAGTAGACTAATTGTTCTCTCTGAATGCCTACATGGTGGTTAGGACACTGGAGATATGAAAGAAAAATATTGTTGATTAATGGAATCAAGAAGGTGCATACTCAAAGCAAAAGAAGACTATAATCCTTTTAATATTTCAGATATATATGAAGCTATTATTTCCTAATATATAAAAACAGAAATTTAATAGTTTTGCAAATAGTGCTACAGATTTATTTTCTTTCAAAAACTATACACTATGATTATTTTCTTTTGCAAAATGTAGATGAATAAATCAGATAAACACGGTCCTCCTATGGGACTTTATCTCTTAAGACAATCAATATTTTGTACAAAGGCCGCATATCTGAATTAATAAACTGAAATACCAATGAAATGTCATCAAGGGCTCAAAATGAACATAATAAAACATGTTAAATTAGGATCTGCTGGTTTGGTCTCTGTGCAAATTGAATAGGGCTGACGAGGCATTTAGCTTTGTATTACAGTTTGCTAAGCAAAGGGATAATGTAAACAAAATTTCAGAGGGAAATGTTTAACCAACTTCAACCAAGAGAAAAAACTATTTTCAAGTATTACAATAGCTTCCATTTGCATAAAATAATTAAGAGCTGATTAAAAATGAATCTTCTTTATTCATTAATTCAAGAATGCATAGTTAGAATTCAGGATTACTATTATTGTATTTCTATAATAAAATTGATTTCTTTTAAATATCCTGTAATTCTGAATATTCACTAACATACAAGAAGAACATTCCAGGTTATTCAAAATGGTGATACTGAACCATAACAGGTGGACTATGTTTTGTAAAACTGATCTGACAATGAAAAAAAGTACTAACTGAAATGATTGGACTGTGCTGCTTTGACACCCCTTTGAAATTTTTTTCAAAGCTAGTTTATGATGTTGAATAATACATCTCTTAATGCATTCATTAATAAGGTCATACTCAGCATTAATATTCTGATTGCAGGTATAAATTTTCACTTTTTAGATTTTCTTAAAGTCAGTTAATTGTGATTATGATAATCTGTTCTTGGTATCTCTCATGACTATTAAATTGGTTATTTAAAATACTTATCCCCAATGTAAGTTACATGATTAACTCACTCTACATTATGAAATAATTTTTTCATTCAAAACTAAACTTTATCCTTCCTTTCCATCCTTCCTTTCTAATCCAGTGTACCAGATCTATTTCTAGGTTTGTTTGTATTTTTAATAACCTACGCATTCCCTTAAATCTGTTTATTGCTTTAGAATTTGAAGGCTCCAAAAAGAGAAGGGCTTATTGATAATTAAGCAACTTTGCAGAAATTAGCATTTTCTCAACCCTTTCAAACATTTATTTCCTTAAGTCAACATTTATTTTCTTAAGTGGGTATAATCTTTTAATAGAACTCATGTATTACCACCAAAATGGTAGGTTAGAATAGATATGATTTTTATCTTCCACTTTCTTGTGTGGACTAAAGACTTGTGCATATTCAAATACATTTTCACTTTGATGGATTCTAATATAACAAAATTATTTATGCTGCAATTTTACCAATAAAGGAGAAAAGAGTGAAGGGTTTTAAGCTCTCATGACGTTCATCACTCTTGAATAAGAACAGATGCTAAGAGACTTCAAGTTTTATTTGAAAGTTCAAAGCCCTCAATCTCAAAGTCCATCTTAAGATCTTATTAAGTGACTGGTGAAAATTTCCATGATGCTCATATTACATCTTTATTGGTGTGGTGCACACCTGAGGAGGCGGGGGAATGGAATCAACAGGAGGTGTAGAAAGCTTTGGTGAAAGAAAGAGTAAGTTTAGCGCCCTGCTGGATCATCTCCTATCTGAAGACAAGAATTCCTCAGGTCTAGGTCACTCAAGTGTTAGGGACTACTATGAAAAGATTTTGAGAGAACACCTCTTTCATCCTGAATTAGGACAACTAAGTTTCCCAAAGGGAAAACCCAAGCCTTAGATCCAAATGGCTTTACAAAGTCATTTCAACTGTGAATAATCTGTTAATAGCAGAATGGTGAGTTGCTAGGTTTAATCTAATTTGGATCATGAGTTTATATTTGAACCAAAATTCAAACTATGAGTGATGTTTATTCAATCTGTCTGCCCTATTCATTGTTTGTTAAAATGTGTACACTTTTTAGCCTCATAATTAAGAATAAAATAAAATTCAAAAGCAAGGAAAGAATTCTTCAAAGCAAATGGAGAGAGTAAATGATTGTCTCCACTGGATTCTAGAAAATGCCTTAGTATTTACCCCAAATCATGTTAGTGGATTTTTTTAAACAAAATTTCAATCTTAAATAAAAATAAATATTTAACTTTAAAAAAATATCTTGAGAGTTCCCTGAGTCAAAGGAATACTTGGACTATGATACATGTAAGATTAAGAATAAAGACAATATGTTACATTCAAAGAAGAATGAACACATCAAAACATAATTTTAAATGCATGAAAAGAATACAACAAAAAACAAAAGTCACTGAGAATAAAAATTCCTGCACAATCAATCAGAATTTTCAAACACTGTAGTTAAATGACATATTAGCAACTTCAGGAAATAGAAAGACAAAAACAACAAGCAATATTATGACAACAATAAGAAAAAGATAACAGAAGATTACAGATCAAGTCATATACAGCCAAGTGTAGAAAATATTTATAAAGTATTCCTCAAGATTTACAAAACATTTTTCATTCCCAGAGGTTAACTACTAGTAGATAAAACGTCAATATATCATTTAAAACTTGCTGCTATAGAATTAAAATTTTTAAAAAAGTTCTTATACCCTGTGCTTAGAAGTAAGTAGGTTGACATCAAGGAAAGAAGTATGCTAAACAATCGCTGAAAGAGGACTGGAGAACTCAGTAGTGGCACAACCAAGGAAGAGGCTGCAACAAAACAAAGCAGGTCATCCATCAGTACAAGAGATGTACAAAAACGTTAGTTTAGAAGCATTGAATAATCTATTATTTATGGCATTTATTGTGTGTGTAATCTTTAACATGAGGCTTTATTGGTCCTGATCATTTGCATACTCAGATACTTCACATTTTAAATTAAAATCACATTTTGTCGTTTTAACTATATTTTGGTTTAAATCAGACTTTTCTAAATTTATATTCAGCTAGGTCACTGTAATAACATTAACTCCCAAATGAATAACTTGTTATTTTCTAATGAAATAAAAATATTACTTGTTATTTTCTAATGAAATAAAAAAAATAAAATAAAAAGATTTAGCAACTCTTCTTTTAATATGCATCTATATCTTAGTTCAAAGACAACTTACTCCTCAAAAACTGATTTTTCCTAACCCCTTTCTTCTTCAAATTTTCCCACTATAAAGTATGCATTGACAGTTTCAGTGTGCCAATTGGAAAATCAGAAACAAAAAAAGAATAACTTCACCATGCATGAGAGTTGTAATAACAGTAATCTTAAAAAACAAAGTCAACTTTCCCCATAGGAAAACAAAAGCAACTACGTCAGTGGAGGAAAGGCCAGGCGAAGGGGATGGGACAGCCAAGTGTAAATCCCCCCATCCTGAGAAGGAAATGTGCATAACTCCCGAGTCCCCCTAGAGCGCTAGAGTATGGAGATAGACAACTTGTGATGGAATCCCAGTTGAATCACTTATTAACTGTTAACTGCAGGGCAAGTTTGTTATCCCATCTAAGAAGAAATTTACTCATCTGTCAAACAGAGATAATATTAAAAAGTAGCTGTGAGATTTAAATGCAAATTCACCTATAAAATGCTCTGAACATAGTGTTTGGCACACTGTGCTTAGTTACTGATAGCTGCTTTTATTATTACTAGTCAACATTGTATAAATTAAGTTAAATGTAAAGACAATTTCATTCAAAGCCAAGTCACTGCAAGATTTAAGACTATGCAAGTTATATTTATAATACCCTTAGATGACTAGTTTCAGAGTTTTTTTCAGATGAACAGTTCCAATGACATTATCATCACCTGCTATGTATTTTAATGGAAAGAAGTAACATTCCAATATGTCTTATTTTAAAAGTCAGGTCAAATAGACCTCTTCTGTAAAACTGTAGGTATTTTCAGTCCTGCATCACTTTTGTCTAAAGGATTAATAAAGTGCTAAAGGGGAAACAAGAGTTCCTGTTTTGTGCATAAGTAGAACCAGTGTTATAAACATACCACCCATTTGGGGAATACAGCACATTAGCAGAAATGCATGTTGGAGCTAGACTCTACAGTGTTCATGCCTGGAAGAGATCTTTGGAAATACTGATGACTTACCTATGAGTCAGCTCTTTCCTGCCTCATACCATTTGGTAGATATCCCCTAGTACCTGGCTTTACCAACACCAAGGAGGAAATATTTTGTTTCAAATACATTCCCAGTGGGACCTTTATATGTTTGGAAAAAAAGAGCAGTAAACTGATTCAGAATATCCTCCTCACCCTTCCAAAACCACAATAAAATCAATAAGGACAATATATAAAACTATATAAGACACTCTAAATAGAGAAAGTAGCATAGGAAATATTATATAATATGCAAGAGTGCTATATTACAACATAAGAGTTGACAGAATTGAGAACAAGCCTAAAAGTCACATTAGTAAACATGAATAGATTCTACTCACCTTTTAATGAAAAGAAAAACATTTTCAAATTGGAACATAAAGGAAAACCTAACTATACAGAAGCCAAACTCAAAACACAGTGATTCAAAAAAGCTAAAAATAAAGAAACAGACCAGGCAAGCCGAAACAGTAAGGAATCCAGAGATGCAATCCTGATGCCAGATAAAGTACACTTCAGGCCCAAACCAAGAACACCTTATAATGTTAAAAAGCAATATTCCATAGTGATGATGTAACAGTTATGAGAAGTTTGCTCCAAATAACATAGCAATTACCTATATAAAATAAAAATTAAGATATTCTATACAGAAATAGAAAAAAAACCCTAAAATTCATACAGAATCACATAAGGACCCCGAACAGACAAAGTGATCCTGAGTAAAAAGAACAAAGCTGGAAGCATCATACAACAGCACTTCAAAATATATTACAAAGCTACAGTAATCAAAACAACATGATACTAGCATAAAAATACACAAATAGACCAATGGAAGAGAAAAGAGAACCCAGAAATAAGTCCACACATTTACCGCCAACTCATTTTGACAAAGCTGCCAAGAACATACACTGAGGAAAGAAAGTTTCTTTAATATGTGGTAATGAGAAAACTGGATATCCATATGTAGAAGAATGAAACTAGAGCCCTGTCTCTCAGCATATTAAAAAAAATCAGCTCAAAATGGACTTAAATATAAGACCTGAGACTATGAAAATACTAGATGAAAACACTAGGGAAATATTTCAGGACATTAATTGGGACAAAGATTTTTTGGGTAAGACCTCAAAAGCACAGACAACGAAAGCAAAAATAAACAAAAAGGATTGTATCAAATTAAAAAGCTTCTGCACAGTAAAGGAAACAATCAACAAAATGAAGAGATAACCTACAGAATGAGAGAAAATAAATACAAACTATCCATCTAACAAAGGACTAACAACCAGAATATATAAAAAATTGAAACAGTTCAACAGAAAAAAATCACAATAATCCAATTAAAAAACAGGCACAAATGATCTGAATAAACGTTTCTCAAAAGAAGACATACAAACCAAACTCAAAAGTAGAAGAAAAGAAATAACAAAAAATCAGAGCAGAAGTAAATGAAATAAAAACACAATACAAAAGATCAATGAAACAATAAGTTGGTTCTTTGCAAAGATAAATAAAATTGATAGACCACCAGCTAGACCAAATAAGAAATGAAGAGAGAAGATTCAAATTAGCTCAATCAAAAATGAAAATGGAAACATTACAACTGACATGACAAAAATTCAAAAAATCATTCAAGACTATTATGAATACCTCTATACAAACTCAACAAACTAGAGGAATGGATAAATTCTTGGAAACATACACCCACCACAACCTTGAATCAGGAAGAAATAGAAACCCTGGACAAACCAACAACAGTAGCACGATTGAAACAGTAATTAAAAGTCTCCCAACAAAGTTCAGTACCTGCTGAACTCACAGCCAAATTCTACCAGACTTTCAAGTAAGAAATGGAATCAATTTCACTGAAACTATTCCATAAGCTTGAAAGGGAGGTAATTCTCCCTAGCTCATTCTATGAAGCAAGTATCACCCTAATACCAAAGCCAGGAAAAGACACAATAACAACAAAAAAGAAAACTACAGACCAACATCCCTGATGAATATAGACACAAGAATCCTCAATAAATACTAGTAAACTGAATTCAACAGAATTTTTAAAAATCCATCACCATCAAGTAGGCTTTATTCCAGGGATGCAAGGATGGTTCAACATACACAAGTCAATAAACCTGATCCAGTACACAAACAGAAATAAAAACAAAAGTCATAGGATTATTTCAATAGATGCAGTAAAAGCATTTGTTAAAATTCAGCATCACTTCATGATAATAAGCTTCAGCTCAGTAGGTCTAGAATGAATATTCCTCAAAAAAGTAAAAGCCATATATAACAAACTCACGGTCACTGTCATCCTGAGTGAGGAAAGTTAAATGCATTCCCCCTTAAAACTGGAACAAGGCAAGAATGCCCACTTTTACCACTCCTATTCAACAAGTCCTAGCCATAGCAACTAGGCAAGAGAAAGAAATAAAGAGTATCTAAATTGGAAAAAAATAAACTATTTCTGTATGTTGATGATATGATCTTATACCTAGAAAACCCCAAAGACTCCTCCAAATGACTGTTGTACTGGAAAAATGAATTCAGTAAAGTTACAAGATACAAAATCAACACACACATCAATAGCACAGCTACATACGAATTGTGACCAAGCTGAGAAACAAATCAAGAACTCAATTCCATTTTCAATAACAGCCAAAAGACTAAAATACTCAATAATATATTTAACCAAGGAGGTGAATGGTCTCTACAAGGAGAAAAACACTGATGAAAGAAATTTTATAAGACACAAAGAAATGGAAAAACATCCCATGCTCATGGATTGGAAGAATCAATATTATTAAAATGACCATGTTTCCCAAAGTAAACTACAGATTCTATGCAATCCCTATCAATTTTTCACAGAATTAGAAAAAACAACCCTAAAACTCATATGGAATAAAAAAAAAAAAAAGAGCCGGAATAGCCAAAGTAATCCTAAAGCTGAGGGCACCACATTATCTGACTTCAAATTACACTACAGGACTATAGTAACAAAAACAGTAAAGTACTGGTACAAGAATAGACACATGGACCAATGGAATAGAATAAGGAATCCAGAAATAAACTCAAATACTAACAAACAATTGATCTTTGACAAAGCAGACAAAAACATACACTGGGGAAAGGATAACCTAAAGATGATGAGAAACCAGATAGAAACATGCAGAAAAATGAAACCTTGATCCCTATCTCTCACCATATAAAAAATTAACTCAAGATAAATTTAAGACTTAAATGTCAGATCTAAAACCATAAAAATTCTAGAAGAAAACCTAGGAAAAGCTCTTATGAACATTGGTCTAGGCAAAGAATTTATGACTAAAACTCCAAAAGCAAATGCAACAAAATAAAAATAATCGGGACTTAAACTAAAAAGCTTCTGCACAGCAAAATAAATAATCAACAGAGTAAATAGGAAATCTACAGAACAGAAGAAGATATTCACAAACTATACATCTGGCAAAGGACTAGTATCCGGAATCTACAAAGAACTCGAATGAATCAGGAAAAAAAAAAAAAAAGAAAATAACCCTATTAAAAAGTGGACAAATTACATGAACAGATATCTCTCAAAAGAAGATATACAAATGGTCAACAAAATATAAAA